ATTGGTGAAGGAGGGATTTACTCAACTTGAAGCCAAAATATTACTTTTTTATCTATTCTCCTCTTTGTTTTATTCGAATAAAACCGACGGCACTTTTGAATGGGATGACCTAATATTTCTTTTTCATTTTGATGTTTTATTCTAGTTTCAGTAACGGTTACAGTATGACCCCACAAATTTTTGTGACTGACTCTTTTCTTCAACTCTCTCGAATTTTCTGTTTTATTATTCTTGAAAGTTTTTATGCTTGGTCTTCAGAATACAATGTTTAGATTGCCATCCTACATCTTTTGGCAATTTCACGCCACTTGGACCATAGGGATGCGGTAGGGAAGTTAGTTTATGCCTACTCCATTTTTGCTGATAGATTAGGCCAGGTTTGTACTTTGCTGGAGAGTCGGGCAATGGCGCGTCAAGGGAATAGATGGAAATCTAAGGCTCCAGGTTTCTCATTGTTCGTTCCTCCTATTGTAGGCTCCCTAGTGAGCGAAAACATCCTACTCCAATCTAATCCTATTGTGCGTATTTTTCGATTCCCACTCTCGCAATGTGTGAACGTGGTCTCACAGATATTTTCCAAAGTTAATGGTTTTATTAAAGGAGCGAATGGAAGAGTCTCTTGTTTCATATTTTGCGAGATGTGACAGTCCCGAAAGAAATAACTGACTACGTAATGATGACTTTACTGGAGGAGTTTTTTGATGGAAAGCCAAACGTGCGTTGTTCCTCACTTATTGTTCATTACTTTAACATCGTTTTCTTACCATTACTGCAACATATTGGGAGGCGGACAAGACAGTCTCCCTTCGTCGCGCAGTCGCGCGTAAGACACCGCGCGGCATACGCTGTATATCCGTTTGTTGCTTGAAGCAGCAATACTCATATATACTGCAGCGGGCGCAGGTCTATGTGATGAGTGCTACCGATCTTCCCCGGCTAATGCCGTTTGGACCCACGCAGTTTTGGCAGCGAGGTTATGTGTCTAAATCACCAGATCCGCTAAAAACTTGTATTTTGAGGTAGTTTGCCATCCTGATTGCGAATATGACGTCAATTCTTGGCGCTAGCGTTTGATTGATGAATCGATGGAAAAAGGAACTCGCTGCACATGGACTCAAACTGAACATCAACAAAACAGAGTACATGTGCACTGCCACAGTGACCTCTCCAATTGTGATTGATGGCACGCCTCTGACCATGGCTACAAAATTCCCTTACCTCGGGTCTACGCTAGCGGCGGATGGAGATGCCAAGGCCGATACAGTATCAAGAATAAACGCGGCATGGAACAAGTGGAGGACTGTCACTGGCATTCTCTGTGATAAGAGAATGCCAATTCACCTGAAGTCCAAGATCTACACTTCAGTCGTAAGACCAGTCGCCACCTATGGATCGGAGACCAAGCAGATGACGGCCGTGGAGACAAGAGCCTATGGTGTCATGGAGATGAAAATGCTGCGATGGAGCTTGGGACACACACGGCTCGAACGAATTCGAAATGAAACCATTCGTAGTAGGATCAAAGTCCAGCCGACCGCATCTCATCTGCGCTGGTATGGTCATGCTCAGAAGACCTCCTGAGGCCATATGCAAGTCTGCTGACAGGATCGTTTTTGCCGGCAAACGTCCAAATAGCCGACCTAGATTGCGATGGATGGGTAAGGGACATGAATGCTGCTGGTCTGTCCGCAGCCGACGTCTGGAACAGGGATCATTGGAAAGCCTTGGTGAAAAAAGCGTACCCGACAAACGTTGGACAAGAACGCTAGGAAGAACAAGAAGAAGAAGGTTCGGCACTATTGAACTATTCCTACCCCGAAAATTTCAAAAAATTATTTTCGCTGAAACGTTGCCTATAGATGTAATTCGATGCGCTGATCACGATTCCGTTTCGAGCGCTGGCGTCATTTGGCGCCATTATGCGCCAATATGGCGCCAAATTGGCGCGTAATGGCGCCAAATGGCGCCAGCGCCAAAAATAAATGTTGGATTCGTAATCAGGAG